TAGTAGTAGTCCGTAACAAATATAACAAAGAACACAATTAACAATATCAATTTCAAAGTGCTCAGTTAATCGTATAACATTGTACAATGTACATAGAAAATAGCAAAGAAAGAGCATCGAATGACCAAAATTTTATATATGTATGCGATTGGCATTCAATTATTACTAGAAATTGGCATAATGGCAATGACGCAATGTCATTCATAAAAAATTAGACACTGAACTAGGAACAAATAGATACGGATCTTACTATGAGCTGGGATTTGCAGCAGTTGCTAGCAGAGGAGGGCGCCGGAGCAGTGTCGCTGGATGCAGTAGGCGGGCGCCAGGCGCTAGCGCGCGGGAGGCCGGCCGGCAGCGACTGCAGCAGGTGGGCAGCAAAGGCCGGCCGGCAGTGGCTGCAGATGGCGGGTAGCCAACGAATCAGTATCACGGCGGACGCAGAGCGGAGGAGGCTGCCAGGCAGGAGGGCGGCGGCGTGCGCCTGCGCGGCTGGCGGCGCCGAAGTCACGGTAGCGGCCTCGCGGGGACGGGCCGGGGCGACTAGCGAGTCGCGACAGCAGGGGGCAGGAGCGCGGGGGGCCGTAGGGTCCGACGATCGGACGCTAATACCGTGCCGATGATTTCCCGCGCCCCGCACCGTGCCGATTCCCACCCGACCGCGCGGATAATTTCCCGCCCGCGCTCTCGCAGCCGTCCCCACGATATGATATTTTAATAAATGCATTATTAAGAGATGGGATTAATCTTGCGCAAAAAGAAAAAGAGACGGGATTAATAAGACTGATCCGATATTTTATACTAACTAAATGTGAACGTTAGCACTGCCAATCAGGATATTCTGCAACCCGTCAGAATTCTTTTTCTCTAAAAAAAACTATTTACGTTAGTACTAATGATCACGATATATTCTCCAACCGTAAAAGTTCTTTTCTCTATAAAACCATTTTTATCTCTAATGGCAGATGTCGGTAATTTTCTACAAAACAAAATAGATCTAATGGTGATGGATGAATATAGTTTTTGATTTGGCTGCTAAGGTCCGTGCGGCCGATCGGGATCCTCAGGCTGATTTTTTTTTCCGCGCTCGTAGATTCCTGTCAACGCTGGTCGGCCCGCCCGCGTTCGCAGCTTCCTGCCTTTTCTTGCGCGCTTATTTCTCCAGCTATAATAAAGAAAATAAAAAGCATTCGCAAAAAATAAAAACATTCACACTCCAGCTATAATAAAAAAATAAAAAATATTCACAAAAATAAAAACATCACAATAGTAAGGGTGCAAGGGATTAAACCAAGACCCTATATAAAATGTTTATGATTAATATGAAATATTTTCATTTTTAACCATATCAAACCAGAAAAATATATCACACACCATCTCATGATTACTATATGGATACTCAAAGATAATCGTGGAACATTAAACGTAAACTATATGCACGTCCAAAAATATATCGTATCTCATATATTTCATGTGAACATAAAAAAACAATATAGAACATCACATGTATACCATATGAACATGAAAAATACATCTAAAATATCACATATATACTATGTAAACATCGCAAAATATAACACACAACATCACATGTGTACTATCTGAAACATCATGAAATAAATCATAGAACATCACATGTATAACATATGAACATCAGAAAAATACATCTATAACATCACATATATACTATGGGAACATCACAAAAATATAACACATAAATCACATGTATTATAGGTGAATATCACAAAATATAATATAGAACAACACATGTATACTGCGTGAACATCGCATGTATATTATGTAAACATCAAAAAATACATAATAAAACATTACATGTATACTATATGAACATCACGTGTATATTATGTGAACACCATAAAATATATTATAGAACATCACATTTATGCTATGTAAACATCTCAAAATGTACTAGAGAACATCACATGTAGACTACCCCGAACGTCATGTGTATAATCAGGAATACAAGAAATCAGAAAGAAAACATGAAAATGAAAGGAATAACATAATCAAATAATGAATTATAGTAAATTAAAGAAGAAAACACATAAATAAATATAAATATAAAATAAAAATAATAAAATATAGAACAAAACATAAGGAGAAATAAAACTAATAAAAAGAAAATAAAAAATACATAAAACATGAATAATAAAAGATAAATATATAGAAAAAATAAATAAATAACTAAAAGATAAATGAATAAAACAAACAAAATACATAAAAAATTTATAGAGTAAATGAAAGAAAGAAAGGAAGAAAAAAGAGAAATATAAATAAAATAATTGATTAGAATAAAATAAAAAGAAATAAATAAAAGATAAAATACTAAAAGATGAAAAGAAAAATAAAATACCACAAAAAAGAAAAACAAAAAAAAGAATGACAAAGAAATAGAAACAACATACAACTAGTATGTGAATATAAGAGAGAAATAAGAAAAGAAAAAAAAATAAAATAAAATAAAATAAAAAGAAAAAGAAAAAGAAAAAAAAAAAAAAGAAAAAAAGAAAAAAAAAAAAAAAAAAAGAAAATAAAATAAAATAAAAAAAAAAAAAAAAGAAAAAAAAGAAAAAGGAAAAGAAAGAAATAAAAAAGGAACTAACGCAGCATCCTGCCGGAGTTAATTAAGAAAAGAAGAAATAAAAAAGAGAAGGTAACTACCAACCTATCGACAGATCACGCATGGATGGAGAGCTGGTTCGTTTGGCTGGCCTCGTTCGTTGTTGATATGTGAAGAAATATTATTGGTTAGTTTAGTGTGAGAGAAAAATATTATTATAGAAATTTACAATCGTTTACGTCTAGGTCCTTGTTTAGTTGCCTAAAGTTAGTGTCACCGTAATCACTGTAGCGCACTGTAGCATTTTGTTTGTATTTGGTAATATTTGTCCAATCGTTGGCTAATTAGGCTCAAAACGTTCGTCTCATAAAATACAACTAAACTGTGCAATTAATTTTTGATTTCGTCAACATTTAATACTCCATTCATATACCATAAGTTTGATATGACAAAAAATCTTCTTTTTACGTAGTGTCAAAGTTTAGATTTTAGGTAACTAAACACATCCTAGCACGAACCAACCGAACAGGCGACTTGCACTTGCACGTGGGAAACATCGGCGCGCTGCTCCGGTCCGAGCATTCGGACCGGAAGATTTCCGCAGGAGCGTGGCCGCTCCGCTCGGGCTAGGGCGCGGCAGCCGGCAGGGGCTGGCACTAGGTTTCACTGAGAATCGTGGGCTGGGCTGGATGACCTGCTCCCTGAGAATTGAGCCCATGGCTTTGTACTTGGAGACTAGTGCAGAGTTCATCACCCTCAATACAAAGGTGCAGTGTGCCGTCCTGTTTGTTCTCCTTTATCTCCAAATATCTGCCTGAAAAAATATGACTTGCTGGTTGCTACAATGTGTTACATGTGGTGCGGTTCACCATTGATCATCTAGTCCTTCCTACAAGCTAAAAACTTAAACTCGTGATATTCATTTTCTTAAGTACAGGCACGTGGTTTACACGTGCCGATAATTCTCATAAAAATATCATTTGGCAATTAAAAAGTTGCATAGAATTCAGTTGCTCCAGCTTATCCTGACCGACAACTATACAACAGTCACCAAATGTCTACTACTTACATATCTCCCCTGTTGTGGAGGAACTGAGTATCTGCTCATCGTTAAGCTGCAAGGTTCTCTCTCCCCCAACCCCTCGCCATCTCTGCGAAATGGAACGGAAAAGTAGAGAATTCTTGAGAGCATCTAGGTAGTTTGTACCTTTATAAAGACCATTTGTCTGACTGCTGGATTTCTCACTAAACAGCAGAGATTGCCACATCAATCGTCTAATCATGAAAACGATGGATGTAGATTGCATTGTCGAGGTCTGAAAGCACTGAACCTTGTATGGAAAGTCATGGTTCACATACCAAGTCCTCCATGGAATGGTTTTCCTTATGCTTCTCAAGTGGGCTATTTGGCACAAGCCACTGTCAGTCTCAGGAGGTTGATCAGTTAAGCTATGACAAGTCAGGTCTCCAATGGGCAAAGATAAAAGCACCATAGCAATGCTCAACAGTGTCCCATCCAAATCAAGAGAGGTAGACGCATACTTTGCACGCATAGAATGCTGCTATGCCTGAGGCGTACACCTTGCCAATGATTCGATTATCCTTCTGCGTGACCTTCCACTGGTGCTGAGTACTGACTGACAGAGACCAGGAATAATCCGGACAGGCCTAGAGACGTCATTCAGTAGTAAAAACAGCGCAGAGCTGGTGAACTGTATACTCAATCAGGCAGCAACATAGGACAGCAGTATTGCTTCTAAGCCTTCTTTCTTGGACTTTGAGATTGAGTTGTTCGGTTGATGGTTTCTATGGCTGATAAGTCGGCTGAAGCTGATTAGTTGCGACAGAAAAATACTGTACCATGACTGATAAGCCAGGCTGATAAGTTCAAGTGAACAAGGCTGAGCCTGAGGTATAATAATCTTAAGCCTTACATGTACTACAAACAAGCTTAAGTTTGAGTATCCGAGTTTCTTCATCTTCTTTCATTCAGAGATGTAAAACCCAAGACAAAGAGAGCACCTTACGGTTCATGAATTGGAAGCACCAATTTCCAATTGATACCATGCTGACAAAGTTAGGCAAGAATCATAGATTCATAGTCCGTACGCAGTACGTTGAAAACAATACAGCTTGCTCTCACGTCTCTTTGGAGTTGCCACCACAAAGCTTGTGGACAATCGAACAAACGTCATGATGCGCAAACTTTGACGAAAACACTCCAGTCTGGAACTCTGAATCGCAGAAATCAATTTTACGTAACCCAGCCCATACAAAGGATAGTTTACCCTCCAATCCGGCCTGCACGGCCCGCCTCGAACCGTTCCATATTACTCCGACCGGGCCGACCCTCTCCTCATCCTCCCCGGTTCGGCACTTCGGCCCCCTCCTCCGCGCCGCGAAACCCTAGCCCGCCTCCATGGACGATCCCTCCTCCGCCTCCAACAAGCGCAAGCGCAAGCGGGGGCGCAAGACCAAGGCGTCCCCGGCCTCCCCCGACCGCTCCTCCCCCTCTCCGGCGGCCGCCCCCGCTCCGGCTGGGCGCCGTGGCCGCAAGCCGCGCCGTAATGAGGCCCCCGCCGACGCGGACGCCGCGCGTCCGCCGTCCCCGCCCCGCCGCGGGGAGCCGAAGCCGGTGGCGAATGGAGTCGATGCGGTGGCAGTGGCCGTGGCGGAGGCAGGCCTCGCGAGCTGGGATGAGGTGGTGAGGGTGGTGCCGTGCATGGACGCCGTGGTCAAGGTGTTCTGCGTGCACACGGAGCCCAACTTCTCGCTGCCGTGGCAGCGGAAGCGGCAGTACAGCTCTAGCAGCAGCGGGTTTATCATCAGCGGCCGCCGTGTCCTCACCAATGCCCACTCCGTGGAGCACTATACCCAGGTTAAGCTTAAGAAGCGCGGCTCCGACACCAAGTACCTTGCCACCGTCCTGGCCATCGGCACAGAGTGCGACATTGGTGCGCCCGCTCTCCCCATCCCTGCTACTGTCTATATTTATTTATTTATCTCGATAATTTTCTTATTGTTGTGTTGTTGGGTTTTTGTCCAATGTAATCGTTAAATCAGATGCATAATACATTAATACATATTGTTTATATCTCTTTCTTGGAGACAGACACCAAGAAGAATTTATATGGTATCTATGAAACTGCTGGTGTTATAGCACCATTTATGAATTATGGCATGGTGCTTATCATACATTTTAACTTGAATTTTTTCCCCTGGTGTTTATGCAATCTAATTTGATGTTCATTTGTTCTATCTGTCTCAGCACTCTTAACTGTCAATGACGATGAATTCTGGGAAGGAGTTTCACCTGTCGAGTTCGGAACATTACCTGCTCTTCAGGATGCAGTCACTGTTGTCGGTTATCCAATTGGAGGAGATACCATATCTGTGACAAGCGGAGTGGTCTCTAGGATAGAAATACTTTCATACGTTCATGGTTCTACAGAACTTCTAGGATTGCAGGTACCTTCTTTTTCCTGAAAATTATAATCACTCCAAATAAACCTTTTTATAAAGATAGATGTTGCAAGTGAAGTAAATCTTTTGAGAAATCATAACTTATCTGCTTACCAATGTGTCTAATATGGGCCTTGTCTTATTGATAGATAGACGCAGCTATTAATTCGGGAAATTCAGGTGGCCCAGCTTTTAACGATAGGGGCAAATGTGTTGGTATAGCTTTTCAATCTCTTAGACATGAAGATGCGGAGAATATAGGTTATGTGATACCGACTCCAGTTATTACACATTTCATTGAGGACTACAAAAAATCTGGAGAATACACAGGTAATGTGCTCTTTTTTGTAATTATTGGAAGATAACTGTTAGCATAATCATGCATTTGGGTCTACAGTCTACTACTGTTACAAGAACAATGAGCATCGTTTCTTGTTCTTATTTTGAACCACTTAGCTAGTTTAACAAAATTAGTTGGATGATATTGACATCATTAGTCTATGTAGTCATACCAGTTTATGGATCTGTTCTGTTTTCCCTTCTAATGAGTATTATGCCCTGCAGTGTGATGATTGATATTGATTTAATTTATAGCGCTTACGGCGGATGTCATCAAGTATATCACCATATAGAGAATAACCTAGTTATTTCAATTCCCTGTACAAAGTAGTAATATATTGATATAAAGCCTATGTGTCCTATCACTCAGTTATTTGTTGTCCTTGGTGACCTTTATATTTAAGTAGCAATATCGATATTTATTCTGATGACAATCTCTTAGATATTTTTATTTTCCAATGACAGTTTTACCACATTCTTTTTGTATATTATTTTAGGCTTTCCTATACTCGGAGTTGAATGGCAGAAAATGGAGAATCCTGATCTCCGCAAAGCAATGGGAATGAAACCAGATCAAAAGGGTGTTCGTGTTAGGAGGGTGGAGCCCACAGCTCCCGAATCTGGATGCCTACAACCATCTGATATTATTCTTAGTTTTGATGGTGTTGACATTGCTAATGATGGAACAGGTTAGTCGTAGCTCTGTAGTTTATGAATATTGTTGTTTTTTTTCAGCTCAGCTGTTAGCATGCAGTGCACTATTTTGCTGTATACAAACAATACTAATGTGTCAATGTGTCATGCATGTCTTACTTTTATGTCTTGTACTGTTGTACAGTTCTGCTAGTTAACTAGACTTACTAGCTCTAGATGTTGTATTTGTCTCACTCATTTATAGCTTGGGTACGGAAGTTTTGTTGAAAGCTGTGCTAAATGAACTAGAAATGGCAAGCATCTCATGCTAATTTGTTTCTTACCATCTTTTTGTTGGCCAACAGTACCTTTCAGGCATGGCGAGCGCATTGGCTTCAGTTATCTGGTTTCTCAGAAATATACTGGCGAGAAAGCCCTTGTTAAGGTTCTGCGTGATTCAAAAGTTTATGAATTTAAAATAAGGCTAGCAACTCACAAGCGACTCGTTGCGGCTCATGTGAAGGGCAGGCCACCTTCATATTACATAGTTGCTGGCTTTGTTTTTGCAGCTGTCTCTGTTCCATATCTTCGATCCGAGGTTTGTACATAGGTCCTTTCTTCATTTTCCTTGCAATGAAGTAAATGATCAATGAATAAGAGCACATCATTGGTTGTTAGTGTTAATATGATTTGCTGCATTCCTGGAAAGTCTGATGCTCGTACTCTAGGGAGCTAGTACCCTCAACACAACAATTTTTTAGTTTTTTACTGAACTTTATTCATTACCATGAAACAATTTTAATTATTTTGTGGTTGCATGATTAGACAATGATCAGTCAGTGCATGTGCTCCTTGATTTATTTAACCAGCAGCCAGTTGGAAGTTCTTTGATTTTGAAAATTCACTTGAGCTGTAGATTCTTTTTAACTGGTCCTGTGGAGATCTTCGTTGAAGTGGTAACTGTTGTTTTAAGGGTGTAGGATGCAATAATTACCATAAACTAGTTAGGTCTATGCGCATATACATAGGTCGTATGGAGTTGCATGTGGCCAGGCAGCCAGCTAATTGCAAAAATAGTGATTCAAACTGCGAAGCAAGCCTCTTGAGACATTTTAACCGTGAAGAAGTTAGTGTTAGTGATATGCTACTTGACAAGCAGTTTTCTAACAAGCTCTCCTAGCTTCCTCTTTTGAGTGATCCCAAGAAGATCTTGAAATCACACAGGACTTTTTAAAAATCCAATATTAAATCTACTTCTGCAGAAACTAACATCACTTTGAACATAAATATTAAATATGGAAATGTTAAATGAGGACTTTATCTTTCATCCTTTAAGCTAATTGGTGTTTGTTATTTATCAGTATGGAAAAGATTATGAATATGATGCACCTGTCAAGTTGTTGGTGAAGCATTTACATGCAATGGCAGAATCACCTGATGAACAACTTGTGGTGGTATCACAGGTTTGAAGTTCTTCACATATTATAACTCTGTAATATGACTTGCTAAGTTTTTTTTTCCATAACCAATTAGTGTCTTGTTTAAATTTCTAACCTGTGCAGGTGCTTGTATCAGATATCAATATAGGTTATGAAGAAATAGTCAATACCCAGGTAATAAAAGCTTATAGTTCTGTTGTCACTAGCATGTCTTTTTTAAGCCATTTCCTGCAGTATATTGTTGCTGAAAGTTCGAATGACATTGTCTGTTCTGCGCTACTGCGGTGACTGAAACTTTTCATTTTTGTATGGTTCGCAGGTTCTTGCTTTCAATGGTCAGCCTGTAAAAAATTTAAAGAACTTAGCGACCATGGTGGAAAATTGCAAGGATGAATTTTTGAAGTTTGATCTGGAGTATGACCAGGTATCTTCTTGACCCTTTGTTTATTTGACTTTTCCAGCTAAGAAAAGCATTTCTCATGGACTGAAATACCTGAAAATAGCTGATGTTAGGAAGGCAGGTTTCCCCCCTCAAATTATTTTTGCACTCCTATATAAATGTTTTCATGGTTTCTCAGGTCTAGCAAATAATTTTTCTGGCCAAATTGGCCATGGACAGCTAGCTTGTTGCCTTATTATATATATAAGATAGGATTATTGAAATGAAGTCAGATATGACATCGCATGATGAAAAACTGCTCCAAAGTAACTGTCAGGATTCTTTTTTAATTGGTTCCTTAATTACATGAAGTTAGTAACTATAATATATGATTTGATAGATTGTCGTCCTTGAGACGAAAACTGCAAAGGCTGCTACCCAGGACATTCTGACGACACACTGTATACCTTCTGCAATGTCGGATGACCTTAAGGCCTAGTGGCCTAGTGGGAGGAGGGAGCATGATGCAGCCCTGGGCCATCAGGTGGGCCAACAGATTGTGCCACATTTTGGGTTGAATTGATTAGTGCAGCAAATTGTGCCACATTTTGGGTTGAATTGATTAGTGCAGCATAGTACCCGGTCCATGAGGAAGAGAACCCCCAATGTGTATTTTGTATTGTGAACTAATTGTCTTTTGAGGGGTTCTCTGTGTCAAAGAGCAGGCTGGTGTCTAAGCTCCGCTATCATAGAAGGCTTGAGGGATCATCATGAAAACGATAGTAGCTACTAAGAAGCTGTTTTTTTTTTCTTTACATGATTTCATTACAACTACTACATTATTAAATTATTAACGGGAAAAGGAATCATTATTGGTCCGTGGTTATAGTGGACCTTCATCCTTGGTGTCAAGCTAGTTCCAAATCGTACCTGTTATTCAGCCTGTTCGCTTTTGGTTTCAGCTAGTATTTTTCTCTCACAACAAACCAGCACCAGTCGGGCTTATCAGTTTAGAAATCAATCAGCGAACAGGCTGATTATCAACGATGTTTCTGCTTCCGCGGTAAAATGTTTCTGGACAAATGGTACTGCAAATATTTAAGCGTTGTGTACCATAATTTGTTTGCCCTGGTACTTGGGCTTTGTCTTTGTCACGCCGTAGTTGTCCTCTCGGCTGGTATGGAAGAGTAGTAGCTGGCTTCCAGCTCAAGCGATGAGGAAATTTTGGATTCTGGCCAGGACCATGGCGCCTTCCAATCCTGCGTTTGCAGCGTTTGTATCCGTTAGTGCTGAGAGGCACACCTTGCGTTCACTCCCCTTTGCTTCCCTTCAGCGCTATGCTTGCAGTTGCAGGTTGGTAGCGGTAGCTCTCGTCCGGTTCCGATGTCTTCATTTCGTTGAGCAGCTGTCGAGATGTACAAGTGCCATTGGCCTTTGGCGACTTCGTTTCCGCATGGTTCGTTGCCCTCCTTTCGCTGGTGCGCCGTTAGTTCCGCTCGGCTGCCGGTTTGATGCGTGCGTGCCTTTTGGAAAGGAAATCCCAGGATCGTGATGGCCTGGACCTATCTATCGGCCACCGCCGCCGCGCTTCGCAACTGCCTTTCGAAACGGCTCGCGCGTACGGTCGGGTGCTGTTCGGTTCAGTACCGGCATTCCGCAACGGCATGCTCCGCCTGGTCCGGACTGTGAACGGAACGGGGGCATGGGTAAGCTGGAAACTTCGACTCAGGGTCATCAACGAATTGAGAACTCTGGGGATTTTGAATTTTGATCGATCTCAGTCTCTCAGTGGTACCACATTGCACTGCACAGCACCTTATTTTTTTCAAATCAAATATATATCGTAGTACCGCTCATAGTCTATAAGCTGGAGGCGGGAGCTATAAAGCGATCTGCCAAGGCCATTTTTTCAAACCTTCCCGATGGGAAAAGAAAAGAAAAAAAAATCAAACACGGGTTCAATTTCCGGTAGCCTCTCGCCTTCGTAGGCTCACATGCCACGCGGTCACGCTTCATTAAGGGTGTGTTTGGTTTGAGGGCTTGAAGGGGTTGGAATGGGTTGGACCTAGTTGGTGAGGTGTTTGGTTAAAAAGGTAGTGGGTGGGTTTATCCCAGTAAGGGAATATTTCCCTCAGATGCGGGTTGGATACATCCGTCCAAAACGAGCGGACGCATCCAACCCACATGCACGGCGGCGTGCTCCGTTTCCTGCGCGAGAGGAGGAGCTGGCGCGAGGGGCGCGGGCCTCGGCCTCCGGCACCGCATGAGGCTGCTCCGGCCATGGCGAGCCGCGCATGGGGAGAGGCAGGGGCTAATGGAGGCCGGCGGGGAGGAGGGTAGCGGCCGACATCGGGGAGAAGGGAGGGGCCCGGGGTGCTCCGCAGTCCGCCCAGGGGAGCCTCGCCACGCCAGCCTAGGGGAGCTGCGCCACACCGGGCCAGGGAGCTCCGCTGCCACGCCTCCGGGAGCAGCTCCGCCGCCGGCCCCGGGTGCTCTGCCCTAGCCCCGGTAATCACGGTGGTGTGGTGCCGTCTGCCTGTCCCGCCCCCCCGCAGCTGCGCTCCTCGGATTTGGCGAAAGCAATGCAGACAGAGGACCTCCTCTGGTGCAGTGACCCGGCCCACGACGAGCAACGCTGCGCGGCTGGCGGTGATCGGGAGGTGGCGACCATGGCATGGCGAGCTCGGGCTTGGGCAAGTAGCGGCCATGGCAGGTGACCGCGAGGTCGGGAAGGTGGCGGCCATGGCGGGCGAGCTCGAGCTCGGGGAGGTGGCGGCCACAGCGGGAGAGCACGGGCTCAAGCAAGCTGGCGGCGGCGCTGGGCAAGCTGTGTGGCGGCGTGGGGATGGGCAGCGCCGGTGCTCTGTTGTGCGGTGATGCTCTGTTGGAAGAGAGGGGGAAGATGGAAGGTTGGCTGACAGTTAGGTCCCACGTTTAACAGCAGCACACGGTGTTTACAATGACATCCATTCCAACCCATCCAATTTCTCGTACCAAACATAAGACTGGAATGGCTCCATCCCTCTATCCAAACGCAAGATGGGTTCGACCCAACCCAGAAAACTGGGTTGGACCCAACCCAACCCAGTTGGTCCCCAAACCAAACACATGGTAACATTAAAGACGAGCATGGCATAGGGGCTGCACAGGCCGTACCAAGCCGTTTCAAAATCAAAACCCAACCGCGATGAGCCCGTGAATTATTCACAGGGACGAGCGTGAACCGACGACGTTGTTACTCCGCCCCTCAAATCTGTCGACACGTCCCCGGGCTCAAACCAACAGTGTTTTTCAGCGAATACTATTTCAGCGAACGAACATTGTTTTTCTCTCACAACAAATCAGCGAACAGTACTTTTAGTCATGAATTTTCAGCAAAACGAACGTGACCAAGACGTGAGTCGTCCTGCTATGAACCGGCCGCGCTGGCATAACGATACAAATCGAACTCCGCAGTGTAGTGCCATGCGCCCGAGGGGACAAACAGGAGGAAGGAAACAAACGTCACATGGGCATGCATAACGAGACAGGCAAGTCTGCCACCGCGCGCCTGTGCCCGCCCCGCGCCCCACGCCGCGCGGCCGAAGCCTCCCCTCGGCGGCTCGGCGCACGGGAGGGGGGACGAGCGACGGAACAGCGCCAAGCGGAACGCAGCCGGGGCGGATCGGAGGGGGCCATCCGTCCTACTCGTACGCGTTGGTTGGTTTTAGGCGCAGTAGCAGTACCCACGGCCACTACGTACGCAGCGGTCGAGTCGCGGGGCGTCCGCGTCTTCCTCGGGTACTCTCGTTTTAATCCGGCACGAGCCGCACGGCGCCTGCAACGCTCCGCTCCGCTCCGCGCGCGGCCGGCCGGCCACGTGACGCGGTCACGTACTCGGTACTCCCTCCACCCGGTATGTATGTATGTATGTACTCCTCCGCGCGGGTTTCCATTCCCCTCCGGACTCCGGTTCCGCGGCTCGCCGAGTTATTGCGACCCGCTGCCACGGGGCTCGGCGCGGTAGCCTACTACACTGCGCGCAGGCGGAGCAGTTGTCGACGCGACTAGGGACTTGTTTAGGGCCTTGTTTAGATCAATCTCCAAATTCTAAGTTTTTTCACTTTTTTTTCATCACATCAATTTTTGGACACATGTATGGAGCATTAAATGTAGGTAAAAAAAAAACTAATTACACAGTTTAGTTGTAAATCACGAAAGATCCATAGTTCGCCGATCGGATAAAGTTTGTCGATCACTGCGCTCCAGCCTCTGCACTGCTGCGCGAGGGCTTTGGTCTTGGTTACGTGGCCACGCTTGCCTTGCAAAGCAAGCCTTCGCCGATCCAACTCGATCACTGAGCTCCAGCCTCTGCACTGCACGACTGTACCTGTATAGGCTGTAGGCCACTCCAGTATGTCTGATCTGCTCCCGCAAGATTGCAAGAAGATACGCACAAGTATGCTACCCACTAGCTGTGCCAACTTACGAAGAGCAGTGATCAGATGTGAGCTGTTGTTCCAATGATGCTAGCCGCTAAAGAGACTGCGTGAACTGGCCGGAATCAAGTAGTAGCATGAGTGGTAAGTGCGGCAAATCTTGCATTAGCAGGACAGCTTTCGGCATTCAGGACTCCTACTACCTAGAAGCAATATCTGTTCTTTTCCAACAAACATGCCGTTCCTCCTGTGTAAAGCAAGCAAACATCTGCAGCCTACAATCTTGCGGCCGGTGCTTGTGAAGTTGCGATATGAATCCACTGATTGTTGGCAAACAAGGAAGAATAATGATCGGCGAAGACAAGAGGACAGGACAGGGCCGGCGGTGTCTAATCATGATGAGAAATGAATACCATCAATCTACACGTCGGCCGGTTGATTACTCATTGACGGCGGCGTTTCGGGGGATGCACCTCAACAAACAGCTAGCGCTGCCGATCTGCGAAGGACGCCACACCTGGCACTGGCAAGGAGATGGTCGGATCATGTAGTAAAGCCAAGCCTTTTCGTTCATCTTAATCAAGGTGGCCCGTGGCCGGAGAAGCGAACAAGAAAGCGTGCAGGTGCACCGTGACAGGGCACACCATGCATTAAGGAAATCGAGCGCCCACGTTGCCATCATTTGAGGCACTGTTTGGTGCTTTGTCTCCATGCACCGGCAAAGTGAGGGGATTTTTATCTTTTTGCGAAGGCTGAAAAGATGCTTTGGGCCTTGTTTAGTTGGGCACCAAGTTGGCGCCGGCCGAATTTGCACACATTTATGCAAACATTGACTAATTAGGCTATACTACGGAAACTCCTTTGTTTCTGCTCAGCAAATATGCTGCGAGTTCAACGTATCCGTCAAAAGGAATTTGAAGGAACTGGCCGTGTATCTACGGAAACTCCTTTGTTTCTGCTCAGCAAATATGCTGCGAGTTCAACGTATCCGTAAGGTATGGCCGTGTGCCTACTACAGGTACAGAGTACAGAGTACAGAGTACAGACAGACAGTGTACCAGATCAGTCTGGCATTTGGGTT